GTCAGTTTTGTATGATCATTGTTCAAAATTCCTTCTGAATGAGCACATACAGATCATGTGTGCACGTGCATGTACAGGGGAACAAGCAGCACGTTGTGAGGAAAAACTGTTATCTTCTAAATGATGGAGGTATTACCAAACACTGAACCTAAGCATCCAGCTTTAGGCAGGCATATGAAAGACTGGGAAGGCAGTGTAGCCACATGCAGTGGATGTATTCTCAAAGACACTCCCACATAGGTCCAATCAGAACTATAAGAAAAAACAGTTGTATTCAAAACAGAAGGGTACAAGAGTCAGTGGTACCGGCACAGCCATACAAATTTACATACAGCTAGGCAAAGCACACCTCTTACGCTAAGGTCATTAACTTCAAAATTCGGATGGAAGAATCCAAATTTCCTCAGTCAGGTAAAGGTTCGAGTCACACAAAGAGATGCCCCATGAGTTGCCCTCTCATCTTCACCTGGAGACCTTGTGACTGAGACAAAAAGCAGATTAAAAGCAGTTAACTCAAGCCTTTAGAGTGGTTTCGGACACACGGTTTTCACTCTGGGAGTCAGTGGCCTATTTCTAAGGGATTTGTGACAGGCTACTAAGAAAAGCAGGCCTACGATCAGTAAGTGTAAACCTATTATACAAGTGTCTCCTCTGCAAAAAAAAAAAAACGTTAATGGATCCAAAAATCAGAACAACTGAAACCCACAGGTGTCAAAAGAGCTCTGCACCGTCACTGCGGCTCTAACACGTGCACACTTACCACTGCTCTGCTTGCTCACGGTCTCACAGCAATCTGTGCTCTGAGAATGGTGATGACAAGAGTTATGCTCAGTACTCTGGAGATGCAGCACACAGTTTGTGAAAAGCGTTTTACACATGATCCAAGCCAGGTTTCTCTTAGCTTCGTTTTCACCAGGATATCACTTGAGTAGGAATGGTGCAGTAAGCCCTGGGAGAACTCTGTTCCCTGCTCTACTATATTCTTGGGAGCTACGAGTTCAATCTCATCTCAGCCGATCTCCTCTGTGCAAAAGAAATGGTACCTCATTACTGTCAGGAATAAAATGCTCAAGTGCTATAAGGAAGCCACAGAAAAACTGTGATAGAGTACACTTGCTTTGTTAAGGACCTCTGAAAGATGTTTCATACTAAACTTTAACATATGGATGTGTTTTGCAGAAATCCACTCTGGTCACAAGCTTGAAGGTATGCATTTTAACTGTCTTGCCTTAGCTTTATGACAATATATGTTCCTATACAGTCACATACATAGGCTTTAGATTTGTAATGGTCTGCTAAGCATCACTGCATACTCCTAATTTCAGTCTGTCTCTTCAAAGCAGCTAAATTCCTGCTTTTGGGAGAGACCAATAAAGAGAGTGAAAGCCTCCACATCTCAAACTTTAATTCTCTCCCAAGCCTTCACCAGATATGTTCCCTCTTCCAATTACGCTTTTGATAAAATACTTCTGTCCCTAAGCAAGGACCTGGAGAAAGTGAGAACCTGCAGTCTTTAAACTCTTAACCACCTCTCTCCAAGGTTCATTGTGGCTGCTTATGCCGCACAGTGGAATGCTTTTCCATTTATTTTTCATTCCCGTGTCAGATGCTAAACACAATTTGACTGCTAGTGTATTAATCATGTCAGTCTGTTTGTTATTCATCTAGGTTACTGGGGAGAGTTATAATCATTTCAGCCAAGCAATTACAAAACTTCCATTTTCCTACCTGTGCCCTAGCTATGTGTTGATCCAGCCAGCGTTCCAGCTTGGTCAGACAGGTGGATCTGTAGGAGGCAAATTAATTTAATTGCGAGGGTAGCCAGAAACCAGCAGAGGTTGAATTTAAGTCCCAAGACTCTAGGCTGTTTCATGACTATTCTGAAGCTCACAGCTGCAATCACGGTGACTCTGTCTATTGTCCTTTTTAAACATCTTCTGTTTTGACTAATTTGATAAGCCTTGTTCCTGGCTGGCTTTCCATCAATACAACCCCGTTCAAAAGACGGCCGCACTGCTTTTGCAGAATACAGCCTAAAAGAGAACATTAACAAAAAGAAATGTAATATACAATGGAAAATTAAACAGCAATGTGTACTTTATTCTTAATACTCTTTACTCATGTAGCCTCTTTAATCATTTATTAATACTTATTTTGTTTTAAACTACCTTCCTTCCAGAAACAGCTTCAGCAACGATAAGTTCTCATCATATCCAACTATTTTGAGCCTAATTATAAGCAAAAGTTGTAAGAGAACGTAGTTCTACTAGCAGAGCTTACACAAGGTCCAAGCCAGTCTTTTGTACTGCAAGACAAACCCTGGTGTGGTTAAATAACGACACAAAGCACGGATATACTCCATAAAACATTAATATTTTAATGAAAAATCTTAGCTTCATGTTTCTATCCAAAGACACTCAAAACTAGTTTTTCTCCCCCCTTAATTTTGACCTATAACGGGACCAGTTTGGAGAATTTTTTTTGTATTTTAGAACATTTTTTTTTTAAAGATTAAACAACCAGGCTAGCAAAAAGGTACCCAATACATACTTTTCTTATATCAAACAAGCTAGTATTTCAATACAATGTAACTATACAGAATATATACATTACACATATGATCACAAAGCAAACACTACAGGCTCAGAACAGATTTGAAAAAACATGATATTCACATTGATTACAATAACTCTAAAAATGATTGTAACGTTGAAACGGCACTTAGTTTACAAAAAAAGTCACAAAAATATATATAGCCACCAAGAACTATGGTTCCTGAAAAATACTAATAGCCAGATAGTATTATATAAAATGTGAAGTGTATTTAAACATCGTATACATTAAAAAACAAAACCAAAACCAAAAAACAATTCTGTTAAGTCAATAAACATGCCAAGTAATCTAGCTGTGGCCAGCATCAACAAGAGAAGCTGTACTGTGGATGAGATGATGACTGAATATACGGCTGGTGACCGGAGACTGGCACAGTTAAGGGGGTTTCACTGTTACTAAAATGCACAAAGAAGCCCAACAATAATTTAATTCACATTTTTGCTCCAGCTTTACTCTTTCCCTCTTCAGGGTTTCACAGCGTTACGCTTTCCCTCTTCAGGGTTTCACCATAGGGCAGTGCCTAGAGTGAAGGCACTGCAGGGACAGGGCAAGGAAGCTGTCCAAGAACTTTGTGTAGCCAGGTCTATAAGTCAGAATATCAAAAGCATGCATCAGCTAAACGAATGGCTAAACAAAATCACTCCTCTGGGGACTTCAGCAACCCTCAGGAAGACGGTAGGTACAGTTGCCACACAGGCTGGCAGCACCAGAAACTGATTCAGCTCTTTGCTTAGTGCAACCAGATTTGCAGGTGAGACCTGTGGGACACTGCATTACTGCAATAGCACACGTTGAGTTAACAAAAACCCAGAGCAATAAGTACTGTTGCATTAAAAAAATTCACATTTGTTTTATGGTACATTCCCGCAAATACTTTGAACCAACTCTAGGTACCAGGGATCTCTGATGTGGCTGAGGCACAGTCTGGCCTTGAACCCTCTTATGTGTCACCACAATGCTATGGAATTTATTATGTCCAAATTTGGAGATGAGAACCCTCCAAAAGTGGGTTTCACCTTGCAAGCAAAACTCGAACTTAATCGATCTGAATGAAAATTAGCTATTTTCCATATTCTGATGTGGAAGTCGCAATGGATCTAGGAACCACAGGTGCTCCTACATCTGCATTTTCTCCATCCCTGCAGGGTGCACAAAGCTCCCATTCTATTTGCATATAAAATGCTTCATGGTGCGTCTTACAGAGAGACTGGCAATAGTCTCAATGCTCTTATATCCTGGGGCTGGAGGGGAAAGCCAGCAACCAAGAAGCGACCAAAGCCCTCATATAAAAACTTTAAACCATAGCTTAAAAACAATAAAATTTCATCCCGTAAGGGACATATAGGGATCATAGTTTTATAAAATATATTTTACTGCATTGGCAGCTATTACTTTTTTAAAAAGTTTAAATTCACACCTTTTAGACTCAAGATACATGTGAACCCAGAACCACTTTCAAAAACCTAGTCTACTGATCTCTCAGTATGAGAGACTTGACCATAGCATCTGCGAGCCTGACAACTGAACTCAAACTGTAGTAAGACAGGCAAAACACCAGGAACACAACCTTTGTTAACATGGCATAAGAAAATTGACACATAGTTCTTACGGGGAGCTTAATCTGCTGACTGTGAAGGCATCCCAATGGATTTTAAGGGGAGCTGGGCTAAGTGTCTGCATCAAAATACAAACCCTCACAAATGGTCCGGGGGGCCAAATCCTGCACGCAGCTAACAACAACTTGTTTTTTTTCCACTCTTTGTGGGGAACTAGAAAGCTTTTCATTTTTGCCCCTTTTCCCAAAACACTATCCTACGTACAGCCAGAGAAAAACCTTTTCCCTGCTTTCCCACTGTTCCCATCAGAGATACTCTTCTATACAACATGCGAGGGGTACAGACCAAGCACAAACTCTGAGAATCCAGGTCCCCAGCATATGGCAGAACCTTGCTAGTTCTGTGACAGTGAAGGCACTCTACTTGCAAAATAAAAGGGGGAGGACAGGATTTTCCACTAAGCGCAAAGATCAGTGCCACACAGAAGGATATGCAAAAGGAAAATACACCCAAACCACTTTGTGAATGAATTGGAGACCACTCCTCATTCCAGAAACTGCTGCAATGGGTCCTACACGTGGCTATTTGCAAGAAATTCTAAACAATTTCGAAGGGCCATGCAGATGATTAAGAGATTGGAGCATCTGTCATATGGAGAGAGGCTGAGAGAGCTGGGATTGTTTAACCTGGAGAAGGGGAGGCTCAAGGGGGATCTTATCAATGTGCATAAATACCTGATGGGAGAGCGCAAAGAAGATGGAGTCTCAATGGGCATAAACTGAAACACAAGAAATTCCATTTAAACGTAATAATTTTTTTTTTTTTTTTTTTTTTTTACAGAAAGGGTGGCCAAACAGTGGAACAGGTTGTCCAGAGCAGCTGTGAAGTCTCCATCTTTGGAGATATCTAAAGCCCAACTGGACAATGCCCTGAGCAACCTGCTCTAATTGACCATGCTCTGAGCAAGGGGGGCTGGATTTAGAAGATCTCCAGAGGTCCCTTCCAACCTCAACTATTTTGTGATTCTGCGACCCTGTGATCTTTGTCAAGTGGAAACACTAATGCACACCAAAAAACCTTTTGTGGGGAAAAGAAAAATGCACTGCAGGGATTGAAATCCTCTAATAATCTGTTGAGAGAAATCTATGCTTTAGGTTTAATCCCAAGCGTAGTTTAAGGCAAGTTTCATTTAGCTTAGTTAGATATCTATCTCACTCAATTTGGAACCCAAATACTAGCAACAGAGCTTGTTTTAAGATGTTCTAATATTTTACATCTCTCCTGTGAAGGACATTAGCATTCCAAAGCACTGAACACTTCCAAAAAGTTAGGGAGGAGAAAGAAAATGATATTTGAATTTAATTTGCGTTCACTTCTATGGAGAAAAGACATATTAACAAGAAACAAACAACATTACAAACAGGAAAACTACCCCAAAAAATCCCAACCCTAAAACCAAAAAAACAATCTTGGGAGTAAGAACTCTATTGTTCCTGCAGTTGAACCAGACTGAAAAGTGAGAAGAGCTAAGAGACTACAGAACTGTGTAGAGAACTACACAGAGATTAAGAGGTTGAAAAGATAACATGTAACACATTGCAATGAGCAATGGAACCCATGACTCGCCTGGTACCGAGGTGTTAACAGTTAATGATATTAATTTCTTTTCAAGGAAGAACAGATTAGAGCTGCAAGGTCCTTGTAACTAGTTTTTAATTTCTCTTTGGTACTCAGAAAGCAGTCTACCTTCTGACACGAATTGTAAAGTCTTCTAAAAACCCAATATCCAGATACGTCTATTCTGTATTTGCACATCTCATGACAAGCAAACTGTTTAGCAAAATATCTACTGGGAGAAAATTACCAGATTCTAACAAAAAATTATGTCTGTCTATAGCTGACCTTTGAATATTTTATCTATACAGTCTGGGACTGTGTCTTTTGTGTAAGTACGTTTTACTACAAGATTCAGAAAGGATTCTCATATACCTAGAAACATGCATAACATTTAGATCAAAAAAGGAAAATCATACATTTGAGTCCAGTGTCTTAGCCCTAAAATTTAGGATAAAAGGCGGCAAAAGGCATTTGCTTGTCTCACTGGCTTCTCAGTTATAGAAATTAGAAGTGGAAGAGAACTGGTCTTTAAATTCTGCCCATCAACAGACACTGGACTAATTCACAGTACAATACACCAAAAAAAGAATTTCTCCTCCAAGCCCTTTTAAGAAGACTTACAAATGCAGACATACAAGACTGAATTGTAGCGGAGAACAACTTTGCAGCATGTTTCTAAAACACCCTTCGGATCTGGCGGAGAAACTTCACTCCAGTAACTTGGAAAGGACTGAAATCCCAACTGTTTTCATTCTACTTAACTAAAATGTGTGTTTTTTACCTAAAACACAGTGGAGAAAAACTGTTAAATACTTAAAAGCCACTGAAATCCTTTAAGCTCTTCCCAAAGAGCAATAAGCTTTCTTCCTTACAAAAGTCTGCTATTAGTAGAAATGCCTCAGATCTACCGGGTATCAGAGCTGCCTCAGCTAACCAAATATAAATTGATCTTGCAAAATAATATGACTTTGGTGCCTTCTGTTTCTTCAGAAGCAACCTTTCTCTATTGGTTTCATTTCCTCCTCATGTTTGTGTAAAACAAATTCGGATAGAAAACAACAATTCAAAAAGCAGATTCAAAACTAAGGGAGTATATCATGCCTTTGGAATACTAAGATCAAGTAATAACTACTCTCTCAGCATGTCGTACGTAGGCGATAGCCATTTGGCATCAACCACTGAGCTAACGTGATTAGCAATAAAACCCCACAAACCTCCTAATCTAATTCCTAATTTAGTTTTCAAAGCAGTACTATAGCCCAAACAGCCTTGACAAAACAAGAATCACTGCTCGGAAAATCCCACACCCTAAATTTGCAGCTTTTTCTAAATATGGAAAAATGAAATTGCAAATCTTCCAATTTATTGCTTACTTGAGCTATATACGTAGCCAGAGTAATGGCCTTTAATAAACTGAGTTGGCAAGGATTTAAAATGTTTTGAAATAGGAACAATTTATCATTGCTATATAGGCTTTTTGTAAACAACCCCCTGTTGGGTTAGAAAGCTGGCCTCTAAAGGGAATAAATTGCGTGTTTTGTCCAAAGTAGACTAATAAAAATCTCAGAAACTATACATGCATATGTATAAACAAAAAAGTGTGCAATAATGCACAAAAGAGCTCATTTTTTCCCCAGCTGTAAACTCCCTCTAGCTAGCTTTCAGAGATTAGTAAAAATACAGTATACATGATAGAGGGAAGTGACCAGAACTGCAAACAATCTGGCCAAGGTTTAAGAACTTCAATTTGAGAAAACCTTCATTTCTGTATGTGGTTTCCCTTTTTCAGAAAGATACAGTCATGAGATATTTGTCAGGCTTGCATGGATATGCAAAGCATATATACTTTTCTATCTTCCTCAGTTCATTATGCACCATTAGACTTTTCCTGACCATATTATCTTCATGCCTAACCTTGAATAGGCAAATCCGGACAGGCTACTTGATCAAACAGTTTCTAAAAGGACTAGAATATAAGAAGTAGGAATACCTGGCATGATATCGCTTGGTTTGTCAAAACTGATTCATCTGAGATGCAAAGGGACAATGTGTTTTTAAAAAGCGTGTGACTGTTAGTTTCAAAAATGCTTACTGTTTCCAAGAAAAGGGTTACAGTAAGCACTTTGAAAATCAGCAGGCACAGAGATACGAAGGGTCATTTTATAAGCAGAAGATTAAAGCAATCCACGCAAAACTAGTCAAAACTGTTCAATAATGGTTTCCAATGCAGCCTTTTGTTTGTCATTTTAAAAAGGTTTCCTCTGATTTCTTTCCTTTAACCAGAGGGTCTGCAGAAGCAAGAAAAACTTAATGAGCTGTTCTAACTGTGGAAGAAGAAATAGTTAAAGTGATCTGAATCAGTTAGTTCTTCTTTAGAAGTGTATCACAGCTTCCACGATGTTCTGACAAGATCTTTTTGTGCATTCAGTCTTAAATATTTTCACAGAAGTGATCATTCAGTCATGAAAAATAATGTAACATCTGTTGCAGTTTTCTGTTTAAAGCGTAGCTTACAAAGTAAAAAGGGAAAATCCCCCCAGTTTTGTTTAAAAAAATTAAATTAAAATGTACAGGACCAAACACAGGCACTTTCCAAAGAACAAAAATGAAAACAAACCATGAATTATTCAATAGTAATAGATGACAGCTCCGGTTTCGGAGGGTCACCTGCGGTTGCCTCAGCAGTGGTGTTAGTCTTTGGCTGCTCGGGCACATCTTCTTCCTTCTCTGCCAACCCACCCAGAGACCCCAAGGGGAAAGTGCTTTCACAATTCTGAGTCGACGAGACCTGTGAAATGACAGGCATTTGGACAGAAGAGTTGCTTTCAAAGCCATGCTCCCCTAGCTCATACTGCCCGAGGGTCTCTTCTTGTTCCTGGTTTAAGTAGTCCGGTACTAGGAAGTCACTAGAAGAGGGGCAAAGGACAGAAGAGAAATGTCATTTTTCAAATAAACACTAGATAATATCAGTTTCTTTGTATCAGTTACATCACACAAGATAGGTAATGCATTGCACAGAGAACAAAGATATTCATCGCACATTGTTCTAAGATCCTCACAGCAACATACTTCACTAAGCATTACAACCTGATTCTCATTTACATACAAGGAGAATGTATTGAAAGACATCTATTTTGCATTGTTATGCATCTGTATTTCCTACACGGTAACTTCTTATCTAGTTTGGATCACCTGGATGAGAATGAAAGTTAGTGCTTGGAACATCATGTGGCACTGAAAATCTCACTGAAAAAAAGGGAGCACTCAACTTTCGAAAAACAGAAATAAAACATGAGTTCAGTACTGGCAAAGAAGTGGGCCTTTTCATCACGGAGGCAAGATCCACCCAAGAAACAGCAGCACTACTCCTCTCAGAGAATAGAGGCTGCAAACAGAAGTCTGAGAGGAAGTAAAGGTTCTGTTTAAAGTGTAAGGAGGCTACCAACTATGATGGTGCTTTCTTGATGCTGACACATATCATACTGCCGTGAAAAGAACTGAATTCCATTTCCTTCTCTGAGCCACAAAGTTTCAGCCCTTTCTGCCCAATAGTTCTATAACTTACTCTTTTCAGCTCTTATGGCTGAGCATATCTAAAGAAAATCTATCGAACTGTCCAGCAATATTTCCAGAATTCAAGCACATGAGGAAAATTAAATTTCTTTGCAAACATTCAGTATCAGGCATATCCACGTTGTAAGTTTGTCCTAGAGGCAAACACATATACATATGCACACGCACGCACACATATATACATAAACATGCGTATTGGCACGCTTTGATTCCTCCTCGTAGTCCGTTTAAAAGCAGTAAGTCTTCTTCAGAGACAGCTGAGGTTCACTCTGCAGAAAAGCATTCACCTCTTCAAACCCAAATTAACAATTGGCTATGCTGACCTAATGTTTGGAAATTCAAACTAAAACAACTAAAAATCATGCACTTCAATCTGACGACAACAATAAAGTGCTTACCACAAGCACAGCATCATTTCTTAGCACAGAGTTTTCACTCTAGCTTTGGCACAAGCGCTAAGAACAAGAACTACGTAAACCCACAGATACGGAGCACTTGTACTTTTAAACAATATTCTCCTGGAAAAACAGTGACTGGTTTTCCTAGTTTGTTTTGTAATTCTTTCATTCTGTATCACTTCCAAGATAATCAAATAGAAAAAAATGCCGAAATGGTTTGCAGGGAAAAAAATAAGACGTCTATAAATCATGTGTGATCGTATTGTAGATGCTATAATATTTACAATAGATTTCTTCTGCATTTCTGAGGACAGACAACTTATACACATCAAGCTGCACCTTCTCAATAGATTTAAGAGCTGTGTGATCTATCTTCCTCCAGATTTCCCTCATCTGCTTTCACACTTTTCTATCTAAGAATCAAATGGTTACAAACATTTATTTCAATATGAGAATATAGTGCTAGTCTGACACCTCAGAACCCATTTAGATGCCTTTTAATAGCCTTCAGTGAAGTGCATCTGTCAGACAGGCCAATTCTTTTGCACCCTGATAAACAAGAAATATTCAAGTGGCCTTTATTATTTCATGATATCAAACCCTATCAGTCTGCTCATTTAGCAACATGTTATCCTAGAAAATTAAAAAAGAGAAAATGCAAAGTCA